GAGCTAACCAAAAACAAGTCAGACAACAAACTAGGGTCTTTTTAGATAATTAACTAGCTGGCCTTTTGAATGTGTTCAGCTGACAATGTAAATGCATGAATTTGGAGCCCTTATTTGTTTTTGTGTTCTTCACACTCATTATTTACCTGGTGTTTAAAGACTGTCCTGGCACCCTCTCCCCCTATAAAGCGGCTGCACGATTAGAATAGTAGAGAGAGGACAAAGACATCTTAATGTTAATTTTTCATTTCAAGTGACAAAATATAGGTAGTTTTTGCTCCAAAAATAATACACTGTGCAAACTGGATTTCATACATTAAATTAGCCTTTTCATGTAAGTGTCGCATGAGAACAACGCATCTACAAGAATGTCCCTGTCATGCTACCCATTCATTTCAGTTAATGAAAACCATGGACAAATGCTTGTTGTCAACCTACATATAGCTGTAACCCTTTTAATTTGCTGTGCACAATGTATGTGTGACATGTTGCATAACATGTTATTACGTCACTGATTCCCCCCTATGTGCATAAGCTTAGTTGTAAGAAAAACCATGTGCTTGTGAATGAAGTTGTGATTCATAGTCCTGTTTCTGTTTCTGTTTCTGTTGTCTATCTATTTTAAGAGGATAGCATATTGATACAGCATGTGGTGTTTAAACTCAAAAGCTGTGCTTCTCTGACTACCATGCACTCATCAGTGAACCCAAGGCCATTTATTTGTATTTTCTTTGTGTAATATTATATTTAGCTGATTTTTTGTAAATTTAAGGAAATCTTTGAGTGTACATCAAAAGAGAGAAGTGAAGCTGAATGACATATAGTATATGTAACAACTATGTCAAAATTAATTTCAGGTTAAAAATTTTTAACTTAGGTTGATTTAACCTCCTGGTACCTAATTCATGAATATAATTAGGGCGATATAGCTAGAAGATGAAGTAAATTGAGAATTAACCCAGGTTAAAAAGTTTTATGCAGTTTATGATAACATGTTGTGTCCTTTCTGGATCATAAAGCAAATTTACCACTGACCACAAAAGATCTTACACAGACTGGAGTACAAACGGTTTTCCTGATTAACTAGGAGGCACCAGAAACATTTGGCATAGGTTGACATCTGAATTTTAAAGAGTAGTTTACAGTACATGTTTTGAAGCCAGCTTGTACTGCACATGTATGTTTTTAAACCCCTAAAAGTGAGAAGTAGCTGATTCCCCTTACAATATTGCAGCCTGTCATCAAACAAGATGGGAATAAACAAAATGATCACCAAGTAAAAGAATCCATGAGTATAATATTCATCCCTGGGTATTGTTATTCATGACATTATAATAAGGTATGGGGAATCAATGTGACCTGGGACAGTCCCAAGATATAAAGACTGAATGGAATATAGGTAATCTGGAACATGGCTTAAATATTACTTGCTGGGAAAGGGCGGGTGGGTTGCTAATTGCCCTTCGTGTCACTGACAAAGTGAAGTGAATGGGACAAAGAGTGCATGCCAATGTTTCCTATTATATAAAATATACTCATTTGCATATCATCAATTAATTCCCAGGGATGATATTTACAATTCAAATGGCACGTGAATAGTACATATTCTTCACAACAGTTACAGCATAAGAGGAGACCCAATGACATGTCTCTTGAGGACTATTAAGGGTGTAGCTGGGGAAGGTAGGTAATAAGACACTGAAATTCCTCCAGACTTACAATGTTGAGGAAAATGCTGAATAGTTTGCTTCCAAATTTTCAAGAGGTGAAAGGGGGTGGAGAGTAGGGATTACCCATATTTCCATCATCAGAAATGGCATCCTGCCAGTTTGCCCCTCTTTCCCACTGACCTCTGCTTTGTAACATTTTCCATGGGAATTTACCCTTTTCATGGCAATGATGCAGTCTTCATAACTTGGATATCAAATAATCCCTCATTTTGAAGACTGCACATTGATTGCTTGATGGAAATTTAGTTCAGTTCACTATTAGAGAATGTTTCCAGTCAATTCACTTAACATGACTCAACACTGCTTATTACAAAATATAATTAAAGAACGTTGTTACACTTAAGTCAGAGACTAGAAGCAGGGGCCTTCATCTACCACAATAGGTCATTTGCTCGATGACATCATTTTACCACTACGACCAGAATCCTTCAGGTTTTGCTTCCTTGTGCAAATTAGGGCTTTTGTTATATTCAAACCTCACTGGGATTACAAAATTTAAGTATGAAAGGAAGATCGAAAAGGATTCTGATGACGCCATCGTGCAAATGGCCTATTGGCTTTACTTGTAGTTAAATTTCAAGAGTCTTCGTCTCGGGAGTTGCATATTAAACTGTCGAGAATTCTCCCAGCCCCTCGAGTGTTTATATCAGCTATGCAAATACAGGGAAAAAGGTTTCTACTGCTTTTATACATATTAAGCTTAACTTTCCCGAGAAAAAAACGCAAAACGCTTTGTTATATGGCACTGATTAAAAGAGAAATTCTTACCAGTCGCGAGGTCTTGTACACCGCTTTGCACGCGTTATTAGTCCTGGTCGTTTTGCAAAAAAGATGCTTTCCAAAAAACCGTTTTTTTGTTGTTGTTTTTTTCACTTAAAATGTCAGTTTAAGCGAAAATAAAATTGACACAGCATTTTTGTACAGATTTTCCAAGTGTCAGCCGACGAGGGAATAGTTAAATAATGTCAACTTGCATTGTCTTGCGTGTTTAGAGCGCGAAAAGCAAAACATGTTGACGTCACAGCCATGTTTATCCGGGGTTTCCATACAGAACTCTCCTGGCTAATCGCTTACTATCGATATATATTTACTTATTTTATAAAGCGATTTACTGAACAATTTGCCAAATCCATTTAGTTTAGCTGCGAAAGATGTTTATTCTCAAGAACCACACATTTTACCGATATTAGTTCGTCAAACTTTTTCTGACATTGAAGGTTGGGCGCAGTCGCAGTCGACCGGAAGTCCGCGATTTGCGTGCGGAGAGTCAGTATAAGCCGGATACCAACCGGATGTAATTGTGTGACCTGGGTGACATAAAATATTCATGTTGGGTAAACGAATGCAAGTGTACGTGATTTGCGCGGCTTTTATAATTAAGGCTTTTTACTGTTCTGAATGTTTTCACTTCAATCGTGTAGAATATGGAGGACGGTAAACAGGAACATAGCATTTCAGAGGAGGGTGATATGGCACAAAGCAAGCCAAAACAGCGAGGAGTCGGCTGCAATCCTTTTAAAAGAAGAGATGAAAAATATTCCAGTGAAAAATACGAGGTACCTTTAGTAGGTTTCGAACCCGAAGCCGCGAAGCAACGACCCTCGTTTGTTTATGAAGATCCAGCTCTAGAGAGTAGTGAGGTTGTAACCCCTATATCACCTCATGCTTTAAAGTTGTTTGAAGCTATCCGAGAAGATGAAATGGAACTGGTTGAAGCGGAGCTTTCTACCCTAACAGATAAGCGCGAAATCGATAAATTAGGCGGACATGGGTTTGCCCTAATCCATGTCGCTGCTCGGTATAATTTCAGCAGAATAGTGACAACACTACTAGATCATGGAGCGAATATCAACGTGGGGACGAGTGACTATCGATGGGCACCTCTTCATCTAGCAGCCAGGTGTGTTGAAACATTTAAAACGTTATATTCTACATTACAGCTATTCTAACGTTTCAGAATCGACCCTTGAAATTTACATATTGCTTACAAGATTACTGAAATTATCGCTAGCTTGCGTAATCGAATGTGTGCAACACGCGTGAAGAATTTGTTTATTGCATTTGTTATTTTTAGGAAACTAACATTTATTGCTTTCTTTTGAAGCTGAAGGAGAAAACAATGCAATACTCCCCTCTCCCTCCTCTCATTTGAAATTTACATATTGTATGTTGTAATTGACAAATCAGATATTAAAAGGAAAGTCATCTCATCCTGTACTGTAACAATTTTCATATTGTTTTGCAATACATTTTTAACCTCAAATTAAATTAAAAGCATCTCGATATTGATGCCTTTCTTAGATGAATTACGTGACTTCTATCTTAACAAATACACTATCAAGTGCTTTTATTCGATTAATTGATTTGCAAATATTTCTAAGTTTGATGGCAAGAAAGTCTCCGCGATTGAGTTTTGTCAGTTCTTTCACACACACAATATCGATGGTAATTTAAATCAAAATTTGAAAAAAGGAGGAAAGCTTTGTTACGACTGTTGTAGAATGAATTCGAAGGGTTAAGTGATCAGGGCGTGACTGTGAGGCTGTGGTTTATAGTTTTAAGTAAAGTACCCAGTTTTCTGGAAAATTTCACCGTTGGTTGTAAAACAACCAATCTGCCCTGAGAAAAAGACGGCGAAGACGAATTTTAGCGTTCCCTAAAACAGTCAACCCCCCCGGGAGGGGGGGGGCTCATGTTAATTCTTCTTGGGGGTGCGCCGCCCGGTTCTCCAAATCCTGACCTTCCTTCAGACCGAAAAATGTCATTTTTTACATCCGTTTTCAGACCTCGCCTCTAAAATCCACACTCATTCTCAGACCTAGCCTGACCTTTAAGAATTTATGTCATCATTACTTAGATTAGAATAGCAACAAAAGAAATTCTTAAACCATTTCGAATTCGCATATTTCTCTTTACACTCTTATTTTCCTCGAAAACCATGCCCGATTCCAGACCAAAATGAGCCAAGTCTATACCGTTTTCAGACCAAACCTGTGCTAAAACTCTACCTTTTGGGGCGGCACATACCTATATGGCTTATATAGGGGAGTACCCCCCAAGGGGGGGGGGGGGTATTATTATTATTATTATTATTATTATTATTATCATTATTATCTCTTTTATCACAGTCTTTTCTGGTGTTCTCTTTGTGCATCAGCCAGGCGCAAACCATGCATCTAGAGTGTCAGTCACTCAAGTCAATCATTCTGTTCATACACTGAGCACCTTTCTGAGGATTCGCGTAGATGCCAGCATGCAGATCTTTTGAATCTATGTCATAGTAGCTCTCTCTGATACTTTCTTGATGTTTTCTACCATACCCTTCTTCACTGTACCAAGCACACCAACAACCGCAGGGATCACTACGGTTTTCATATGCCACATTCTTTGTATTTCTGGTTCTAGGTCTTTGTACTTGCTTTTTTTTTCAGTTTCCTTCAGTGCGATGTTTCTATCTGATGGAACAGTCATATCAATCAGTTTGCAGGTGGAATTCACTGAATCTTTAACGATGACGTCTGATCTGTTCGCTGTTATAGTTCTATCAGTATTGACTGGCGTGTCCCACATGATGGTGATGTTGTTATCTTTATTGTGCATCACGGTCTCAGGCTCGTGTTCGTACCATTTGTCTGTAATCTCTATATCGTGATCTTTACAGATGCTCCAATGGAGATATGCTGCAGCGTTATTGTGCCTGGAGATGTACTCTGTTTTGGCTAATACCTCACATCCAGATACAATATGGTCCACCATCTCTTCATGTTGCGAACACATTCTGTATTTGCTCTCCACTTACTGGCCACGTATTACTTTCTGGTTGTTTCTGGTGTTTATTGCCTGGTCTTGAGCTGCTACTAGTAGTCCCTCTGTTTCTCCTTTCAAATTATTTGACAACCATTTGTTGGTGGTGACTGTGTCTACATGAGGCTTCTCTAGGATCTTTGGATACTGGCCATGGAATGCTTTGTTTTTCCACTTTTTTATTGTGATACAAGAACATGACCTCAATGTAATCCTCTCGTGTCCATTTCTGTCTGGTGTTTCTTCTATCTGTGTTGGTACCTGCCCGTTCTGGTGTGGACGGACCCTGTTGGGAGAGACTCTGAGATGGGTTGGCCGCCACTGCAGGTTGAGAGGGTAGATCAGTAGACAACTTTTCGACCTCAGCCTGACAACTCACTGAGGGACGCGCTCCTTGTTGACCCGCGCGACGAGCGATGCGGTATGAATTCCTTACATTTCTACTACTCATATTGGTGAAGATGCTATTTGACCCATAGCTGGAGAGAGGCTATCCCGCGCCAGATCTCAACTTGGTATTTCTAACCCTCGCGGGTTTATTATTATTATGATGATGATGATGATGATGATGATGATGATGATGATGATGAATGAATAGTTTTTTCTTTTTTTCAAGCGAATTAATTGTAAATAGGATTTTAATAGTTAGCATTGTTGTCAATAAAATTTTTTCATTATTTTACATTATTATTATTATTATTATGTAAAATTTAGCACAGGGATTTTCCCTGGGGAGAAATATCCAGTCAAGTCTCATCCCGAGACCTCAGACTTCAGCACCTTTCTGAGGATATGTGCCGATCCGAGGAGTGCCGACTTTTGCATCGTTCTTCTTCGGTTTTTAATTCCTAGTTGCTCCAAGTGGCCTGCCAGCTTCTTTGACACTGAACCCAATGCACCTACAACCACTGGCACCACTTTTGTCCTTGATTTCCAGATCCTTTGAATCTCTCTTGCCAGGTCTTGGTACTTTTCACACTTTTCAGTTTCTTTCTGCAGAATATTACTATCTCCGGGAACAGCTATGTCCACAATGATTGTTTCCTTTGCCTTCTTTTTCTGAATTACAATGTCTGGCCTCCTGTGATGGATTTCACGGTCTGTTTGGATGGTAAAGTCCCACAACAGTTTAACCTCCTCATTCTCTTCTACGCTTTTGGGGGAATGCTCATACCATTTGTCACTGCACTCAACTCCATATTCCTTGCGCACCTCCCAATGAATGACCCGCCCAACAACATCATGCCTCTTTTTATATTCTGTCTGCGCAAGCTTGGGGCAACTACACAAAATATGCTGCACAGTGTCATTATTATTATAATCACTATATAATATTGTGTTTCTTATCATAAGTTCAGTAACATCCGCAAACCTGAAGAAGGCTGGTATGGCCAGCCGAAATATTGTTATGAAAAAACAATACATGTTGTTCTGATCAGCTTTGCAGTAGTCTTTGGACTTCTCGTTTTTGGTTATTAGTAATATGCAAATCTTCTTGATTTGGAGAAACTAGGCGCGCAAGATGGTCCCGGTTAAATTTTCAGCAAGCGCGCGAAGTGGTCTTGGAAAATTCTGTTCTGCAAGCGCGCAAGGTGGTATTTGGCAAATTCTGGAAACCCGTCGTTGAATGGTCAGCATTAGATTCCATCCTCCAGAACCAACTTCCCCTTTTAGCTACACTTACATAAAATCTCAAAGTCTCTTAAAATTTCTACTCTTCTAATCTTTTTCTAAGTCTCAAAATGGGGCATAAGCGGGATTCGCATTTGCGGCCCTAGAAACCGAAATCCATCGCCTATACCAATATTCGACTGCAAGTTAAATTTTCGTTTTACATACTTATATTTAGTGACAAACCTTACAGTAAATGAAAGCTAACCATTTCGAGTCAGCGCTTAGGAAGAAGCCAATAGGAAAAAGAAAATATATGAACCAAAAAACGACAAGAAAGAAAAAACGAGCTTTTGTAAGAATCTAACCCCGCACATTTTGTCTGCGAGAAATATTTTTTACCAGAACGCTACGTGACGAAATGGATTTGTGGTAATGTTTGACGTATGGATTTTGAAGTATTGATGTATTGTATTGTAAGTATTGTTTCTAAAGTGTTTTCTCTTATAACTTCCTCCGGATAGCTGCGTTTAAAGCTGATCGTCTCGTATTAAACACGAATTCAAAAATATGTGTCAGGTAAATAACCGGGCTGTTGACCGGGTAATACAAACCACCCTTAACGATATGCCCAACAAAGCCGAAAAACTGGTCTGCGAAGTAGGACGGAAAACATGTTTTTTTGTCTCCATTTTCTTTCCATGTTCTCATAAAAGTACTTCTGCCTTCGAAATCCATCGCTAAAGGAGATTATTAACATTATAATGAAAAAATACACTAATAATGATAATAATAATAATAATAATAATAATAATAATAATAATAATAATGATAATAATAATAATAATAATATAGCCTGCGAATGCTGCCGGTAGAGACGTTTCGCCAGGAGGAACGCCTATGCCTCGGCGACAGAAATTTCATACTGATGACGTAAATAAATGTTAAAATTTGATTGAAGGTATGATCGTCGCAGTAGTAATTGCAATTTAAACAACTGCAAATTAACCCGAAAAAAAAATTGGGACTTCAACGGGATTCGAACCCAT